GCTCTCGCTTAGCGCGGTCTGGTCCCTGCTGCGGCAGCCTCGCGTGTGTCAGGATGCAGCTGGCCACTGAGGGATGCCCCTAGCGCAGGGACTTGCTCTCGCCACTGTTCTAACATGCCCAGCCCCAGGGGGCTGCCGAGGCATCACACTCTTCTGCGGCCCTCACCGGGTCCCCTTTTCCAGGCTACTTCATGGATCACGCCGTGAGTTGGAAGGACTTGCCCGTCAGGTAACAGCCGCCCCTGCCCCCTTTGGTTTGTCTCTCCCATCGGCTTCTTCCTCCTCATCCCCCTCTCTGCGCGGCTCTGTCCTTTTGCCCCCCCATGCAACTCCCCTTGCTTAGCGCAAGAGTCGTCTTCCCCGCAGCCCTCGCTGTCATGGGCGTGTGCCCCGTGTCCCCTCGCCCTGGCGGCTGTCTCCTCCGGAATCGCCCCTCCTCCGGTGTCGCCGGCTCCCTGCCAGGGCTTTGGGATCCCTGTGCAAGGGGGTGGAATAGAACCCAGGAATCCGGACTCCCTCGGCCCCCCCTTCCAGCCTGTAACCACTAGACACCACTCCCCTGCCAGAGCCTGAAATAGCCCCGAGTCCTGCCTCCAAAACAAGTCCACTCCCCAGTCCACCCTGAGCTCCCCCCCCTGCGGGGCCCTGGGGCTGCGTCCCTGGCTCAGTGAGTGTGGTTGAGCCAAGTCTGTACTTCAATGCCTCGGTTTCCCCTTTCTTCCCAGTGGGGTTAGTGGTGCCGACCTCCGTGGCAGCTGCGGGGTTCCACTCCCCTGCCCCCCGTGCCGAGGTCTGGAGCAGCGGGTTCAGTTCCATGCCTGTCCTGTCCCTTCCCCTCTGGCAGGACCGTGTGCTCCAGCACGTGCTACAGAACCGAGACGGACACCGGCAAGGAGCCCTGGGGGCTGTACAGGGTCCATCAGTTCACCAAGGTAAGAGCGTGGTCCTTGCTCTCGGGGGGTAGAGCCCAGGAGTCCTGGCTCCCCGCCTCCAGGGGCCAGAGCTGCCCCCGCTCAGCTGATTGGCGGGGTGGGGTAGCAGGGAGGTGCCTCTGGGCTGCTCCAGCTACTGGCCCGGAGAAGAAGGGGGGGTCATGTCAGCCTTGGGAGCTGTTTGAGACGCTCCGTGGACTCCTAGCCGCTGACCCGATCAAGGAGCCGGCCGCTGGTGCCTCCTCCCCAGGGCGGGACCGGGACCAGAACCTGCATCGTCTGCCCCAGCCGGGAGAGTCCTGTGGCCGAACCTCTCCAGCAGGGGGACATTCCGAGGTGCCAGCCTTGGAGAGCTGGCACCTCCCCCAATAAAAGGCCCATCGGGCGGCCCCCGGTACCAGGGCAGGAGGCTGACGTGCCCGTTCCCTGCCCTGCAGGTGGAGATGTTCGGGGTGACGGCAGCGGAGAGCGGGCAGGAGAGCACCGCCCTGCTGGAGGAGTTCCTCGCCCTGCAGAAGGAGATCTTCTCCGCGCTGGGGCTGCACTACAAGTGAGATGCCAGGGGGCTCTACGGGCCCTTGCCAAAGGGGAGCTGTGAGGCGGGGGCACCCCCAGGGTTACCCCTCTGCCCGCCTTGGCCAGGGCTGCTCAGCTGGGGAAGTGGTGTCAGCAGCCCTGGGGGTTGGGATCGGCCCGTGCCGCCTGCTGCCCGCCTGATCAGCCTCTCTGGCAGGGTCCTGGATATGCCCAGCCAGGAGCTCGGGCTGCCCGCCTACCGGAAATACGACATCGAAGCCTGGATGCCCGGCAGGGGCAAGTACGGTGAGGTGAGTGCTGCCCGCTGGAGCGATGGCAGGGGAGGAAGCCAGGCGCCAAGGGAGAGGCTTGTTCTGGGGCTAAGGGACAGCATCTCCTGCTGCCCCATGTGCTTTGGGTTTCCTTGCTCCGGATCCCAGCGACAGCAGCCGTTCACCCTCCTGCGTCAGGGTGGATCTGGATAGCCACGGAGGGCTCAGGAAGGAGATGGGGCCTTTGCAGTAGCCCTAGGGGGGATGAAATAGGGGAGCGGGGCCAGAGCCGTTGTCTGACCTGGGGAGGCAGAGAAGTGGAGTGGGGGCGGGTCTGGATGTGGGGACAAAGGAAGGCCTTTGGTAGGTCACGGGAATGCTTTGTGTGTCACATGACTGCCGTCCCCCCAAGCCGCCTCCCACCACACAGCCCCATCTCTCACTTCCCCAGATCTCCAGCGCCTCCAACTGCACCGACTACCAGAGCCGGCGCCTGAACATCATGTACTACGACCAGACGCGGCAGCTCCACTACGCGCACACGGTGAGCGCCTGGCCTCCCGAGCCCGGCTGGTGGGGAAATGGGCCGTGCCCCACACGGGCCAGCGTCCCTCTGTCCGTCGGGTTGGACTGTGCAGAGGGGAATCCGTGCCAATAAACCTGCCTACCTTGGGGCGAACAGGCCGGGTTGATTCCCATGGCTAAGGAGCCAGAAGCAGGTCGCTGGCTGGAGAGGGGTGGGGGGATTAAACCCCCTCCCTGCGTTCACTCTGTTCTTCTCCCCAGGTCAACGGCACAGCCTGCGCCGTCCCGCGGGTGCTGATCGCTTTGCTGGAGTCCAAGAATCCGTGCCAATAAACCTGCCTACCTTGGGGCGAACAGGCCGGGTTGATTCCCATGGCTAAGGAGCCAGAAGCAGGTCGCTGGCTGGAGAGGGGTGGGGGGATTAAACCCCCTCCCTGCGTTCACTCTGTTCTTCTCCCCAGGTCAACGGCACAGCCTGCGCCGTCCCGCGGGTGCTGATCGCTTTGCTGGAGTCCAAGCAGCTCAAGGTGCGCTCCTGTCTGCAGCCACGTGCCCGAGCAGGCAGGGAGCTGCGCCAAGGGCCCAGCATGCAGCTTCTAGGCGGGGGAC